TATCATCTGCAGCTGGTTCCCAACATCACTTCCAGGGACTTAGCTACTGTGACCCATGCCATGGTCACTTCCAGACTATTGTAAGTCGCTTTACATGGGGCTGCTCTTGAACTTGACCCAGAAACTGCAGCTAGTGCAGAATGTGGAGGCACATATGCTGATGGCGATGCCTGTGTGGGCTCGCATTCAGCCAGTGCTGCACCAACTGCACTGGCTGCCAATAGAGCACCAGATCCAGTTCAGGTTCTGTTAACTTTCAAAGCCCTCTGCGGCCAGGGACCTGCGTGTCTTCGGGATCGCCTCTCCCCATACGCGCCCCACAGAGCATTGCACTCAACTGACCAACACCTACTGGTTGTCCCCAGCCCCAAGGATGTCCGGCAGCTAGCCTCAACCAGGGCTTTCTCAGCCCTGGCCCCAACCTGGTGGAACAAGCTCCCACTCGAAATCAGGGCTCTGTGGGATTTGTTACAATTCTGCAGGGCCTGTAAAATGGAAATGTTCTGCCGGGCTTTCGGCCGAGGCGGCAAACATCCAAAATCCATCTCTGGCCTCCCCAACTGAAATCACTGGCTTCTGATCAGCCTAAACTGAGCATAGCAAACCAGGCTTTGCAGTGGTTGTTTTATTATTGTTTTAAAATGTTTTTAATTATCTAACTTATATGTTACTGTTGTCGTCATGAATCTGTGTGACCTCGTAACCCACCCTGAGGCCGATTTCTATCCCATGGGGAGGGCGGGATAGAAATTGAAATAAATAGATAAATAAATGAGAAGCAGAGGTGGTTCGCCATTGTCTTCCTCTGCAGAGCCTTCCTTGGTGGTCTCCCTTCCAAGTAATGACCCTGCTTGGCTTCCTAGATCTGACGAGATTGGTCCACATCATGCCACCACCCCTCCCATATGCAGAATGCGGTACAGAAAAATGCTAAGTACCACGATAGCAAAACCAGAAGGCGTAAAACACTTAAAGTAAAGATTAATTTAAAAAGCAGGGGAAATGTGGTGTCAATCTTCCCTTCAAAACAAACCGTGTATGCTCCTTTCACCTAAAGGGATCCCAAATTCTAACTCGAAATGCACCAGCTTTAGGTAAAGGTAAAGGTTCCTTTGTTTGAAAGCCAGTCGAATCCGACTCTAGGGTTGTGGTGCTCATCTCCATTTCAAAGCCGAAGAGCCAGCGCTGTCCGAAGATGTTTCCGTGGTCATGTGGCCGGCATGACTAAACACCAAGGTGCACGGAACGCTGTTACCTTCCCACCGAAGTGGTACCTATTTATCTACTTGCAATTTCTTGCTTTCAAACTGCTAGGTTGGCAGGAGCTGGAACTAGAGATGGGAGCTCACTCCATCATGCGGCACCCGGGTCTCAAACTGCTGAACTACTGACCTTCCACAGCCTGCAGTTCAGCATCTTAACCACTTGAGCCACCGCAGCTTTAGACAAATGCATAAAGCTGCAAAGATCAATAGCAGAATATTGGCTTTCTGGTCTCAGGTTTAGAGAGGTTTTTGGTATTGGGGATCACATGATGCTCTTATACAAAGTGGGTTTTCGTTTAGGCTTTCCTATAGTCTTGTCATTGATGGGGGATCAAAAATGGAATAAACCCTGCTACCCTAAGCAGAGTTGCATCATTCAGTGTTCAAGGAAGTCAGTGGTCTTAGTATGGTGTAACTCTGCTTAGAGTGGCACTGATAGTGGACTGTCCCAAGCACCTGAAATGCTGATGGAGACTGAAGCAAGTCCTGGCCTTGCGAGATGCATGCAGAGACAGCTGAACAGCAACCGTTTTTTTGGGGGGCGGGGTGGTGGTGGGAGTTTCTAGTACAGGAATGATTAGAGCTGGAGCTTTGCATTCTGCAATCGCATCTCGTTTCCAGCAGAGGGTTCCACAGCACAAATTCATTATTGGGCTACTGTGGAAGGTAATGGCTGGCAGGGCTGACTTTCTACCCTTGAGCTATTTTACAGCCTCTCTTCTACTCCATTGCACCTGGTATTTCTGGACTGGAATCTCTCTAGAGTATTAACCATGGAATCTTATCCTTGCCGTATCATCTCACAGTGATCAGTGGGAGGGGGGAGGGGGAACTCTCCTATGTTCCTTCATTGGTCACCTCAAATTCCCTACCTTGTTTTAGGATGAAGTCTCCTTTCCAGCCAAGGAAGGCTGCAAGTTATGCGAGCCTGTTATTTGTGATCTTGACGGAGGCAGCTGCACACCCTTGCTTCATCCTCTATATACCACCTACTCAAAGCCCTTGACTGAAATCACTATTTTGAATGCTATTCAAGTGCCCCCTCTTGGTAGGAAAGTGTGCTTCAAGATGGCACTGTTTGTCAATTTTCAGCTGAACTGAAGTTATGGATGATTCCGATTTAACCATCAGCCATTTAAACTCGTAGAATCTCGTAGAAAAAAATGGTGTGGCCTTTATAGTCAACAAGAGAGTGCAAAAGTCAGTACTGGGATACAATCTCAATGACAGAATGATTTTGGTCCGATTCCAAGGCAAACCATTCAACATCACAGTAATCCAAGTCTATGCCCCAACCACTGATGCAGAAGAGGCTGAAGTGGACCGGTTCTATGAAGACCTACAACACCTCCTAGAACTAACACCAAAAAATGATGTCCTCATCATCACAGGGGACTGGAATGCTAAAGTAGGAAGTCAAAAGGTAACCGGAATAACAGACAAGTTTGGCCTTGGAAAGCAAAATGAAGCAGGGCAAAGGTTAACAGAGTTTTGTCAAGAGAACACACTGGTCATAGCGAACACCCTTTTCCAACAACCTAAGAGGCGACTCTACACATGGACATCATTAGATGGGCAACACCGAAATCAGATTGACTATATAATTTGCAGTCAAAGATGGGAGAAGCTCTATCCAGTCAGTAAAAACAAGACCTGGAGCCGACTGTGGTTCAGATCATGAGCTACTCATTGCAAAATTCAGACTTAAACTGAAGAAAATCAGGAAAACCACGAGGCCATTCAGGTTTGACCTAGATCGCATCCCTGATGAATATACAGTAGAGGTGAAGAATAGATTTAAGGGTCTAGATTTGATAGATAGAATGCCTGAAGAACTATGGACGGAGGTTCGTGACATTGTACAGGAGGCAGCAATCACCACCATCCCAAAGAAAAAGAAATGCAAGAAAGCAAAGTGGCTGTCTGATGAGGTTTTACAAATAGCAGAGGAAAGAAGGAAAGCGAAAGGCAAAGGCGAAAAGGAAAGATTTAGCCAACTGAATGCAGATTTCCAGAGAACAGCAAGGAGAGATAAGGAGGCCTTCCTGAATGAACAATGCAAAGTAATAGAGGAAAACAATAGAATGGGAAGGACTAGAGATCTCTTCAAGAAAATTGGAGAAATCAAGGGAGCGTTCCAGGCAAAGCTGGCCATGATAAAGGACAAAAACGGTAGGGACCTAACAGAAGCAGAAGAGATTAGGAAAAGATGGCAAGAATACACAGAAGAACTATACAAGAAAGACCTCGATGTTCTTGACAACCATGACGGTGTAATCACTGACCTCAAGCCAGACATCCTGGAATGTCAAGTTAAATGGGCCTTAGAAAGCATTACTAACAACAAAGCTAGTGGAGGTGATGGTATTCCAGCTGAGCTATTCAAAGTCTTAAAAGATGATGCTGTTAAAGTGCTGAACTCAATTTAAGCTTGCACACACTTAAAAGGACATAGAAAGCTGCCTTATACTGAATCACCTCTGACTAGCAGCCATTTCCCCAGAGTGCCAGGCACAGAACAGTCTCCTCAAAACCTGTTGTCTGAGATTATTTAACTGGAGAAGCCAGGGTTTGAGCTTGAGACTTTCTGCATGCAGTATGTAACAAGCTCCATTCTGTTAGCTTTCCATCCAGACAATTTTGAGGGTCAGATCTGCTTAGAAGACAAGAAGTAGAACTGCATCAATTGCCGTCAGGAAGATTCTATTTTTACATCCAAATGGAGTTCAGGGTGTCTACAGTTAGCTAACTTGAACACTGAGTTCTGTTTAGGAACTGACATTCTCATCCAAGTTTCCCTGAGTGAAAATTAGGTCTTGCACCTGGGACTGACCTGCCTCTGGTTAGTTGTAACAGCTAGAGCTGTGAACTGACAGTGCATAGTATAGACTATAAAAGAGGTGCTGTGGCTCAGTGGAAGATAATCAGTTTTGCATGCAAAAGGTCCTAAATTCAATTCCTGGCTCCTGTTAAAAAGATCAGGTAGTGGGTGATGTCAAAAAACCTGAGACCCCCCCCCCCAAGAGCATTATTGCCAGTCCGAGAAGGCAATAATGACATTGACAGACCAATGGTATGGCTCCATATAAGGCAACTTCATGTGTATGTATTCAACTATTAGAGCACATCAGCTCTTGTAAAGTGGGAAGGAAGCTGTAAGTGGCTATTGGGGAGGCCAAAGCAGCCAGCTATGGCTCTCGCCAGCCACAGATCTTTCATCTGGGACTGGGACCCAATCCATCCCCCCACTGGAATAACAGTAAGGGATAGTCTTTCTCAATCCAGAGAGAAGGTCTTTGGGGACATCAGCAGCCAACAGATCAATCCTCTCCTCCTTTCCTGTTTGTATGTTTGAAAATACTGAGCTCTAACTTATAACTTGGGGCATCCTGAAGATGGCAAACATTCCCACTATCTCACCCGTCTTCATAATTAGCAGTGTGCAATAGCCTGGCCTACAAACATCCAAGTCTCCTAAAGTGTGATCCCAACAAGCTAAGCACTATTAAGTCCTACAGATTTCAGTGAAAGAGAGTTCAGTATTTCTTAACAGTCCCACTGAAATCTATGGGCCTTAACTGTGCTTAAGTCTGTGTGGATTGTGCTCAAATTCGCGGCTTGTGACCTTCATTTTGTAAGTTTCAGTAGAGGGCAAACAGTTTAAGCTTTAAAAATGTCGAAAAACACAAAAACCATTTTCTTCCCTTCATCTAAAAATACACAACTGGTCACGTGAGCAAAATAATGTTTTATTATTGCACATAATCCAGCAGAACAACTGATGGAAGCTCCTGGACAATATTACGCAAATTGTCATATACTTTTTTTAAAACACTTGTGATTCAGGTATGTTGGTGGTAAAGATAAATACACTTATTTTTCTGTAAGACCTGGAAAAAATTAACAACAAAATGCTATTTTTGAAGGCATGCAAACTTGAGGTAAACCTGTCCCTGCTCACCCTAGGAATAAAAAAAACCCCTCCAAAACTTGTACACACATTTGCATTGATCCAGCAGCTCCTTGTGGACATAGGCACTATAAGGTATACCCAGCTCCCCCCCCCTTGCTGCACAAGCTTTCCTCTTCCCTTTAAATGAGGCCACAACTCATGCTTGCACCTCTATATGTGTGAAAGCATTTCCTTCACTAAAATTAATGGAAAAGTTCATATGTTCAGAAATTCCTTGTATGTACACACATGGCTCTGGATTTGCGATATAGTTGCACACTTTTTATTTTTGCTATTGTGCTAAATGTATGCTTGGAATTATAGGCTTGGGTTCAGATTAGACTTTCTGGCGAGCACAAGGATTTCCACTGAGGAGCACAATTTTCCAGCCTCCTCCCTCCCATGGCTGCACAAAATTGGAAGAGAGGGGGACACCCCCCCCCCAGGAACAAGATTTAAGGGCCGTTTCAGGCTACCATAGAACGGGAAGGCAGGAAAAGGATGCTGCATGAGTGGAAATCTTTGTGCCCGTGGAAACATTAGTTTGGATCCAACCTGGGGGGGGGGAATAGAAACTTCCTTTAAAAACAAACACACACTGAAAGCAAAGGTCTTCAGGGTTCTAGAAGAAGATGGCAGGGTACACAAAAATGCTTTGGAGCCACAGGTCATTTCAGATTCACTCCTGCTCTGATGAATAACTTAGTATTATTTCTTGGAGGTAGGCTTGCAGCTACCTACATGTAAACACAATGGGTACCACTCGCTGTAGTGACCAAGGGATAACAGTGTGTGCACAAGCCCTAAGGAACTCTCTCTGTCTCTCTCTCAAGAAAGAGTTACGTACATATATGTATATATATATGCACACACACACACACACAACATATATGTTCAGGATCCTAAGGACTATCTGCCCAGTTCTGCATACTGAACAGGTGATTCTGGGCTTGTCTTTCTTGAACAGCAGGTCCCACAAACTGCATCTGAGAGTAAAGAGAGTCAAACACAGTTTGTGAATTAGCATAGGACCAGATGTTCAAAGAAAACAAAAGTCAAAAATTCCACTGACTGCACACAATTCCTTGGACAAGCCCTCTATATCCTGGCCGATATATTAAAATATGCCCACATAAAAAAAAAAATCTATCTACTTTTGTCATCACATTGCAAGGAGTAAAACATAACAATTCGAGCACATTATATTTATGAGAAGCGGGATGGGTGGGTGTGAACAATCTGAGCACTTTTCAAAAAAGGATCAGATTTTGTACTTAATGATAAATAAATGTCTCTCAAAGAAAACCACATAAATAATAGGCTGTAACTACACATTACTTTTTTTCCCTCTGGGTCCTTGTGATTAAGTGATGAACATGCAAGTACCCTGTGCTGGGAACGCAATTCTCAGGTGCATGAGGTTCCAATTGGATCAGGACCACAGTGTGTGGCTTGACGGACTTTTGCCTTGTACTGTTTCCCTAGCATAAACCAGCCTCAGGGTGGGGGTGCTATTTGCTGTGTTGGGAGCTCCGTGTGGACTGATGGGGCACATGCAGGTTTCCCCAGTGCTACCCTGGGGCCATTTTAGGTCAGGCAAAAGGCATGAGGTAGGGAAGCATAACCTCCTTCTCCTCGTGCACTCTGGTTCTGGTCTGAATCAGGCTAGGACCTGAGTTCCTTGTGGGGAACTGGCGGTCTCACATCTGAATGACAATCTTTGTGGTGGACTCAGCCCAAGGACTGGGAACTGGGAAATGAGGCCCTGTACTGACATTCTAAAGCTGTACACCTGTTGGCTACAGTGCCAGGAAACAGGCTTCCGGCTTTCCAAAACAATGCAGCCCGGTTATTACAAAGATATTTTAGGAGAAGCAATAATATTAATAAAATCCAAGAGTGAATGACTTCTTATCACTGAATCCTTATCAGTAGTCTCTCATGTTTAATGGATATTCCTAAGACATGCTTACATTTTTTTTTTCCTGAGGACAGTTACAGCACGTGGCTTCTGGGTGAAGTTAATGTATCCTTCCTCTTCCAATTGACAATATGATTTGATTAAAATATAAACAGAGAAGGAAAAGGCAAAAAAAATCAATCCAGCTTTCCAATTTCATACCCAGCAGTTCATGAACTGAAATTATCTGATCCGAAAGCACAATCCTTTGTGTCTACCTGCTGAATATCTGCAGGGTCGTATTATAAACCTTTTGCCATCTGGCATCTGCAGCTGGCATCTCTTTTTTCAATCCCCTCGTTTTCCAGTCTCTTCTTCTGATCTGTAACCAGTTGCTGTTGCACTAAGGAGTGTGTACAAAAAAATTCACAGTCCATTTTAAATGAGGCACTTCTTTAAAGCTTGTGAAATTGGCTCAAAAGTCCATGCTTTTGTTTCAAGGGTGGGGGGATTTCAAGCATGCTGACACACTACATTTCTTTCAGTTTTTTTGGTTGCCAGATACCCAAAGGAAAGCATAATGTATAAAATTGCAGCATATGGCTGTCACCGCTGGTCTATTTTCTGGGGAAAAGGCAACTCCCAACAACAAGAATATGCCAAGGCACTGCTTAGTTTGTAAATGGACATGGTTTTCATCTGCTGATGCTTGCAGTATGCCACATTCAAGAACACAGCTTCTAGTTAAGCAAGTGTGTTCAACTCTTTAAGAAAGAAAGATTTACTCTAACTGGCACTTAGTAATGGAGGAAGGAATTCATTTCTGGGAGGTGTCTGACACTAAGACCACTTTTAAGCACCCTTAATCTGTGAAAGGAGAAGACACGTTTTTGTTTCTTCACTGTGGATTCACTCACAGCCTAGAATAGGCTCTGCCATTCATAGAAATGGGGTGTGGGCTTTTTGCCTATTATAGACTTCTAAACAGAATGACTTTAGAATTCTGTAGCAGCAGCGAAATACAGCCTGACTTTTCCTAACATTGGACTCAGTGCAATCCTGATTTGGATGGGGAAGTTAAATCCACAGGAGTAGCCCTCATTCCTGGCTGTTGCATGCCTTACACCTATCTCTCTTTGGGAGGTCTGTAACAACAAGTCTTCCAGTAAAGGCTGGAATTTTCATGGTGGAATTCAAGGAAGAGACTGTTTCATTTGCGTTTCCACAATTCACAAGTGAATACATGTTTCTTCAAACAGCAGCACAGTAGTCCATCAAAGTTAGGGACCTTCAAGGCAATTCTAGTTCACAACAAAAGAAAGAGCACAGAGGGGCTGCAGAATTCCAGGCTTCTTGTTGCTGAACAGAAGATGTCACCCATGACGGGGGCTAAACTGTTCACTTGGGACCATTCTCTGAAAGTTCACGGCCTTGCTGCAACCACAGGGTTCTAAGCTCCTCCTCCTTTAGATGTTTTCTAAATAGACGGGGTTATGTTCCTGTTGTCTACATCAGCAAAAACTTCTGTTGTGGGTAAAAAAGCAAAGAGGAATAAAGTTAACAGAAACCATAAAGAACAACATGTTTATTATTTTCAAGATAACTCCAAAACTAGGCACTTTACGAAGACTTTAAATATTTATATTAGTGTTAAATGTGGCATGCTTAAAAAACTGTTTGCTTGAAGAAGGTATGATTGGATGGAAGGATTCCTCATTCTTTTGTATGGGTTAGATAGCTGCAGCCAACATTTGGACTGCTCAATACCTATCACACAAAACCCTCTGCACCATTATAAAATCTCTCTCTCTCTCTCTTTCTTTCCCACCCACTTCTCCTTGTCCACCTTTGCCCTGGTTCATATTCTGGTAGTGGTACCAGCTGTTGCAAAGCAGAGGAATGGGCAGCCACTTTATGCTCGAATAATGCAGGAGCAGCCCATGACATTGCTTGACTATTCAGAAATCTTTTTGTGCCATTTCACCATGTCTCTCACAAAGAGTGGCAGTTACTGCAGAGAAAACTCCAGCTCACATGTTCTTAGAGGGAAAGGGAAAGGAAGGTGAGCAAGCTCCTCCATGACCAACAGGAACTGGGGCTCATTCTCTCCTGTCATTTGTCTCCGACGCTCTCTCTTGTCTACAACCTGATGCAGGTGTGTGGGAGCACTTTGTCCGTCTCTCTGCAATGCAGCAGGGTTACCTTCTACAGCAAGGCAAGCTCCATTAGCTGATTCCCTAACGGTTCTATAAAGCCTCTCGCCCCTAAGGGCTACTACCCCCGAGCTGTTCACCCCCTAATGAGAAGATCCTGCCGTATTTTCTGGCTTGCCACTCTTTTCCGGAGCCTGGCCTGTCTTTGATCAGGCTGCTTTCTGCTAACTCATCTGCTCATTAGCTGCTGCCTCCAGAACCTGACCTTTTGGCCTGCCTGCTATTAGATTTCACCTGGGTGCTGGATTGCTCCCCTCTGATCAAGCACCACACACGGCCAAACTAGACATTCACTTTTATAAAGAATTAGACCCAGGTTAACCACAGCCACACAGCAGCTATGGAAAATGGTTTTTTGTTTTTTTTAAACAGCCCATTTGGGCTAGGAACACTGCCACAAGGGGGAGGAAGGGCTCCTGCCCGCTCCCCTCATTTTCCATTCTAAGTGTGCGGACTCTAATCGGGGAGAACTGGGTTTGATTCCCCACTCCTTCACTTGCACCTGCTGATGTGACCTTGGGTCAGTCACAAGCTCTGGCACAGCTGTCCTTGAAAAAGAGCAGTTTGTGTCAGAGTTCTCTCAGCCCCACCCACCTCGCAGGGTGTCTGTTGTGGGGAGGGGAAGAGAAAGGAGTTTGTAAGCCGCTCTGAGACTCCCAAGTGAAGGGTGGGGTATAAATCCAATCTCTTCTTCTTCTCTTCTTCTAAAACAGTGCTGGAGGGAAGTTGTTTCCCTGTTTTTGCTGTTCCACAAGGAATATTCTGTGCATGCAGAGCAGCAGAAACAGGGAAGTAATTCCCCCTCGACGATCTTTCAGCATGAAAAATGACTGGGAGGTGGGAAGTGGGACCCCTTGAACAGTGGCTTTCCGAGGCCAAATGGGCTTTGGTGGGGTTAATAGCCATTCCCCTGCAACAGCTGCATGGCTGCAGGGAACCTGGACCCAACTTTTTTTTTTTTTTTTTTTAAACCCAAATATCTAGTGTGGCTCACAGTGTGAGATGCAGGGCTATTTTTGGGCAGGAACGCACAGGAACGGAGTTCCGGCTGGCTCCCGAGTTGGGCACGACAAGCAGGAATTCATTAGCATAATAGGCCACACCCAACAGCAGAAACTCATTAGGATTGGCTACATTAGGGGTGTGTGGCCTAACATGCAAAGGAGTTCCTGCTACAAAAAAAGCCCAGGGTTTTGATAACAAACAAAGTAAACAGAATAAGAAGCAAAAGGTGAGTGTGGTAACATGGGGGTGTAGCCTAATATGTAATGAACTGTGATGTCAGGGTGTGGCTTAATATGATAATGAATTTTTGCTGTTGGGTGTGGCCTATTATGCTAATGAGTTCCTGCTGGGCTTTTTCTACAAAAAAAGCCCTGGTGAGATGAATGTAGTGTCTCTTCACCGATGCTGACAACATGTTTCAAATGCTTACTTTGTGAGCCACCTCCAGCCAGGTCTCTGGAGAGGTGGTATAGAAAATGTTCAAAATAAACAATTGCATTCCACCGGGCATCTTTTCACACATGTGCAATGAACCCAAAATTAACCTCCTTCAAGCAAGGAAAAAAAGAATGCAGAACTGTATGAACATTTGCTAAACCTGGCCACCAAACTCTGCCGTCTGAGGGCGATTCTGCATCTAGCATTTGCTCCACATTTTCTCAACTGGGAGGGAAAAGTGCAGCTCAAAACCACATTCAAATACTTTGGGGCAACATCATACTGACTACAAAGTTACCCCTGAATGGCCATAAATTTGCACAGAAGGTACCATAAAATCCGGTGAGCAAAGGAAGCGAAAGTGGCATGCAATGCAGAGGGGGGCTTTCTGTTCCAACGTGGGTTTTGTAAAACAATGGAGGGAAAAGCCAATGCAGAATCAGCCTGAGAAGAGTATGCCAATTTGTCTCACAGCATTCACATTATCATTCATTCGTTAGTTACATGAAATAAAGCTGAATTCTGCTATGGGAAATGGACTTTCCTGAAGCCACACTGATGAATGATCCAAAGCTTCAGCAAACAGTAAAGATTATTGGCAATATTAAGTTTTTGAATTGACAGAAGACATAATAATGGAACACGGCCCACCAAGAGCATACAGATGATTAAGGACTAAACCTCATGTACTTGTTGAATCACTTGAGTCATCACTAAGGGAATTTCTCCCACTTATCACCACTGTTTACAAAGTATGCTGTTACTGCTTTGAACGCCCCTGCCGGTTAGTACAGGAAAACACTTACCCATCTGTGTGCTCCAAATGCTAGCTCATACTGTGCTGTAACCAGACTTGGAAGCAATCTCACAGGTATTCTTGTGGCCAGACCCAATGGAATTTTCTTCACCCCCCCCCCCCCATGCCCTGGCAACCTGCTTTCTAGTGAAACGGACAAGGTTAAAGGAAAGCCTTGTTAGTTTCACCAATGCTTCGATAATTAAAAAACAACTATTACAGCTTGGTAATTAAAAAAGCAACAACTAATCAGGTGAAGCAACAACTATCACCCTGCTATTACCTCCCCTTTGTGCAAGACATGCCTTCTGAAGGAAAACAAAAGTTTCCTATCTCCTCCTCAAGGTGGTGCTATGTCCAGGGATGGCATACCAGCGAAGCTGCCTCTGTGGTGCACACAGGGGTCGTTTCGTAGAAAAAGAGCTAGGGGAACTCCTTAGCATAACTCATTAGCATATGCCACACCCCCTGACATCACCGGAAGTGTGTCATAAGGCCACACACCCCGCCCCCAACGGTCCTGGCCGCCGCTGCCGGCCTTGCAGCTCCACTGCCGAGCCCCATGAGGGGCCCGGCGGTGGACCTGCAAGGCCAGTGGGAGTGCAGGGAAGCCCCGCGAAGGCCCTCCCTGGCCCCAGGCCCCAGGCAGGGGTGGGGAGAGGCAGGGAGGAAGCAACTTACCCTCCCCTCTTCTCCTGCCTCCTCCTGGCTGAATGAGGGCCGGAAGCGGGGCAGCCGGAAGCAGGGCGCGGGGCTTTGTCATGTGCCCCGCCCCCCGTACCTCACCAGGGGGAACTGCAATCCCCCGCGATCCCCCCCCGAAATGACCTCTGGGTGCACACCAGTTGGGGCCCAGCCTCACGGCAGCCCCAATGAGGCATCAGTACCAGCAGTCACAAAGGATGCCAGGGCCGGGCTGGGAAGACTCATCTGGTCCCAGCACCAGCCCAGGCACTGGGGCGTGGGGAAAGCAGGGGCAAGCCCAGAGAGTCTACAGTCCACCCTGCCCAGCCCCAGGGAACAGTCAATGGGAGAAGTGGCTGGAGGAGGAGGAAAATCCAGCAGCCTTGCAGGGTGTTAAGTCGTGCGCTTAACAAAGAGTCGGAGAGTGATTCAGCAAGAATTGCGGTTTATTCTTCAGCTCAGTTACTTCTCCGTTGCGGTACAACAATCGCCAGCCAGAACCCATCACAGATCAGGACTATCGCCAGCCAGAACCCATCACAGATCAGGACTCTCACATACACTGGCTTGTCTATATTTAAACACTCCCGGCTAATGTAGCCACACCCCCTGTACAGA